GCGGACAGAGGGGGAGGACGCGATCGGGCGCTGCCGACACCACCGCATCTGGCTGGACGTCTGACACAGACAATAAAAACCGCAGAAGCCAGAACTCAACACCTCGGGGCGTGCCGGAAGGGACATTTCTGCATCGGACGAGAAACACGATTTAAGGGAAAAAAAAAAAAAAAAAGAAAAACGGAAAACTAGAACAGGTTAGAACCGAGAAAAACCACCGGGAACGAAGCAGACCCTTACGTTGGACAAAGTGCACTTCACTCGGCTGCGTGACCTATTTTTGGAAAGAATGAAAGTCAAGTCTTAGGGTTTGGCCGGGGCCCCTGTCCGTCTGCCCTCCCTACCCGGCGTCCCACGTGCGGGACGTGCTCCCGGTCACCTCGAACCCAACCGAACACTCGGGGGGGACGGTCGGTGTGTTACGTCCGCGCTCTGAATCGAGCTTACATCTGGTCGGAGACTCGAGCACCCCTCACGATTTTTAAGAGCTGTAAACGACGGCAGGCAGTCCTGTGATAGACGGCCCACGTGGGCGACAAGGTGAACCCCCGACTTTCCTGAGGCAGGCTGTCACCGGAGTGTGACCGTCACGGGCTGTCACTGTGCTGGGAACGGGCTTGGGTGTGAACGGAGCTGGCGGGTTCTCAGGCCTGGGCCCCCGTGGCCCGTGGCGGGCTCCTTCCGATGGCAGCTGGGGAAGACCGGGACGTGGACGCTGCCCCCTCGTCCTTGTCACGTTCGCCGCTGTGCTGGGACCGAGCCCGTGTGGTCTGGGACCTCGCAGACCTCGTCCCCGTCACAACTGCCACAAAGTCCCCGCTGGTCGAGGGCTGGCAGGACATCAGCGAGACCCTGGCGGAGGCCTCCGCATGTCACAGCACCGCCCCCGACTCCGTGCTTGGCTTGTCACACACGCGGGCCGTGCCCTGACTGCGGGCCGACGCCCGCGAGCTGCCGGAGCGCAGAGCTGCCCGTGCCCGCTCCGGGAGGGGTCGGCAGGGCGTGCGCGTGGACCGCCGCAAACTGCGTCCCGAGCCTGACGTCTTGCGACAGGAAGTTGGCCACGTGGCCGGGGGTGTCTGCTGCCGTCCGTGACGGACGTGGCTCCCACAGAGGACCGGGAACCTCTGCTGCGCCCCAGGCAACTGAGCCCGAATACAACACGTGCGTCGTGCACAGCGCTGGGGTCTGTCGGTCCGTGGCTGCGGCCTGAGCGTCACGTGCCCAGTGCAGCCGCAGGGACGAGCTGATGCTGACGGACGCATGGTGGCTGTGTCCGCCGGCACACCCCGAGGTGTGCAGGACGCGCCTCCCCTGCCACGACGGTGGATTTCGGCTCCGCAGATGACGCCACCCGCCAAACAACGTGCCACACCACTGCTGAAGCCCGCGCCCGGCGGAAACGTCCCCTCCCACACCCACGGGAACACCAGCGGCAGAGGAGGTCCCATCTTCCGGCCCTGTGCCCGCGGCAGATTTTAGAAATAGGTCGGTGTCGCTCGATGACGAGAGAGCATGAAGGTCACCTGATCCGGGGAAAGGGAAGTCCCGCAGGAACACAAAGCCATGTGGAATATTTTAAAAACAGTAAAAAGAGTCATCGTTTAAAAAAGAAAAACCTTTTCTGCTAGTCTCTCGGGAGAGAAAGAAGTGTCGACACGGCAGAAACGCCCGGTGACGCCGTACGTGCGCGACGGACCTTCGGGACCGGACCCCTTCCTGCCCGCGGACTCCGGCCATTGCCCGACCCACGGCCGTGCTGCGGCCGTTAGGCCCGCCCTGCAAGGACCGTCCTACGTGTGCTGCTGTGAACGAGGTGTCACTCAGAGGCGCACGGAGCCGCGCTGTCCGTTTCGATGGCTTCTTCGGTGCCGTGTGGCCTGGGGCGGGCTTCTTGGGCTCAGAGGGCATCGGTCTTCACTTCCTTCCTGCAGGTACGAAGGTCAAGGGCACGGCACGAGGGGCACCCTGGTCCTCGCGTCTTAAGAGCCGTCGCCTGTCCGGTTGGTCCCCATGCTCAGGATCCGCCCCGTCCACGCCCGGCGTGCCCACCCCCTGTCCCGCAGCCGAAGGGCACGGGGCCAGCGAGCTACACCTCAGACCCTGTCTGTGTCTTCCTGAAATTTTTTAAAAATATGAAACCACACAAAGCTCTCTCTGTCTGATGGCCATTTGTAGGATTTTAAAATTGTTTTAACATAAAAATATTTTTTCTTTTTTTCTTTTTTCCAAAAATACTCCGGGCTCTTTGTCTGATAAGTCATTTTTTTTTTTATCTCCTGTAAAAAGTCCCCCCTGCCCTGCCTTCTTACATAAAGCACTTATGACGTGCAGAAAAAGTGCCCTTGAGACCAGAGATCTGAAGCCACTGTCACAAAGGGACAGAGTGAGGGGGGAAGGGGGGGTGAGACAGCTGTCGGTCAATGATCCTGTCACCCTGTGCACCTGGCTGTGGCCACTGCGGGCTCGTTTACTGCAAATCGAGACCACGGGGAGCGGAGCGGAGCGGTGGACGGGGGCGGCGAGGACGAGGGAGGAGCGACCAAACCCACGCCGCCTCCATCTCAGACGGGAGGGCCCCAGAGACCGGATTCCGGCCGAGAGAAAAACCACCAGACAAAGAAGGTTCTGGAAAACAGGAAGTGTTGGGATTACAAAGTGGCGCATTTCATCGGTACAAACGGGTCCTTTGCGAGAGTTCACTGTAGTGTCCGAATTCTTAGGGGGAAGAGAGAACCCAGCACGGGGAAGAGCACTTTCCGCCGCCTTTGGGGTTCGCACGACTTCTTCCTTTCCTTTCTTTCTCTTGTGTTTTTGGCACAGGTTGTGTTTTTTTGTTTGTTTGTTTTTTTAATTGGTATTTTTCGCCCGCCCTGTCGGCCACCGGAGCCCGTCGGGATGGGCACCGGAGTGTGCACGGCGCCTCTCCAGCTGCCGCTCCGTGCTCGGCAGGCTCAGCGTTCCACGCGGACACCGAGCCTTTCCCCCTGGGACGTGACTGTGTGTTTTTGTTGGAAACGTCTTGATGCGGATTACGAAAGAAATAAAAAAAAAAAAAAAGAAGAAGAAGAAGAAGAGACTCCTGTGGCCAGGGATGAGTCGGTTTCGAAGGACGCACGGACGCGAGCCACGTTCCTACAGTTTGGGAGCCGACGGAATTGTGTCTGAAGCGTGCTGCGACCGCACACGCTTGCTGCTGCTGGTCCATGAGAATTCTTTGCTTTTTGTTCCGAAACGCTGTGTCTACTTTCGCAGATCTAACACGCACACCTGGAAGGACACAGAAGGAGCCCGTCACCTTCGGAGATGGCAGCGAGGTGCCATGACGGCGGAGGCTGGCCAGTTACACGACCCCCTGGAGCAAAATCGGGCCCCCCAGCCACGGTTTGTGAATAAAGCTTTACGGGCATGCGGCCACGAACCTTCGGCGCGCTAGCGACAAGCTGGTGTCTGGGCACCTGGCCGACCAGCCAGCCAGAGCCAGCAGCCACCCTCGGATCCCCCACTCGACAGCCTGTGCTGCGTGCGCGCCCTGGACACGAGGACCCAGCACGCCCCCGGTGTTGGCCGGACGGCGCCCCCACCGCCCCGAGAACCGCAGGTGCCGCTTACGGAGCCGTCGGACGCGCTGGCCCCCACTTTGTCTCCTCGGGCGTTCCAGCACACCTCGAAGATGCCGCCTGTGCCTCGGTAGCTGTGCACGAGACTCCCGCTCTGCAAAGCAAAGCCATCGTCACTACGCCGTGAGGGGACACTCGGGGGACCGACAGGGTGTTAGGGGCACGCCCCAGTGATGAGGCCATTCCCAGTGATGAGTGATTATGGTGGGCGTGGGGAGGCTGCCTCGCTCCGGCGTGAACTGGGGAGGGAGCACGTCGGCATTATTATTACACATACAGGCAGAGCTTTGAAACGTCTCAGAAACACTCGTGGTTTCTACGAGAAGAGCGAAACGGTCTGGCGAGTTCTCGGCAGCAGACGGGGGACCTCACGCGTGTCGGGTGTGTGCGATGCTGTCATATTACACACCCAGCCCTTCCTGGAGACCTAGCAAGTGCCTTGTAAGGCGACCCTGGCAGGTCGTTCGTGAGCTGTGGGTTTTCTGGGCGGCCTGTCTGGGCTGCGAAGTTCGGCGGGCCTCACTCAGGCTGGCTCCGTGCGGGGGCCACCACCACCTTCTCCTCTCCCAGAGGACAGAGTTCGGGTCACTCAGGCCCTGGCGAGCCTGAGGCCCCAGTGGACCTCCCCCTGCTCCATGCCACTTAACGTGGCTCATCGGCCACCTCCTCTGGCCACCCGGGGCCTGGACTTAATGCCAGCCCACCCGCCTGCCAACCACGCCGAAGAGTCGGGACGCTGGGGTGGGCTGACGTGGGGGAGGGGCCGCCAGCTCCTCCACCCCGAGATCACGGAAATGGGGTGCTGCCTCTCTGCAACCCCGCCCACCATCCCCCCGCTTCTGGCAGCCGTGACCCTGTGTCCCCGACTGCGTCCCATCCGTTCCTACTCTGTAGTCAGAACCCCCGTCCCCTCCCACGGGGCCGGACACGCCCACGGCGGCCGCGGTCACTCCAGTCCTGTCCCCTTTGACTCATGACGACGGGACGACTCGGTGCCGACACGCGCTCGGCTACGCGGAGAACACTTTCGTCCGAAACATCGAAACGGCCCGACTGCAGCACACGTTTCCCTCCCGGCCCCTGACCTGCTCCCAGGAGGGAGCGGCTCGGAGTGGAGGATGTCGCCCCCGCCCCGGAAGCTCGCACGGAAGGCCACCTCTCGCCCGATCTGGGTACCGCAGGGCGGTTCCTCTGGTGATAAGATAACTGAGTGATGCTTTTTCGGGACGACGGCTCACGCCCAAGGAAACGACGAGGGACTCAGAAGCAACAGCAGACGCCGGGTGTCCCTGCGGGAAAGACCGCAGCCCGCGTGCAGCTCGGGGCGGCCGGCTCGTGCTGTGGGGGTGTGGGGCGCCCCGGGGCCCCGTGCGAGGGACCTGCTCCCGAGCGCGCGTTCCCAGCTGCTGCTGCGGGAAAACGTGGCAGGCTGGGGCTGCCGAGGGACAGGACCCACGGGGATTACCTGCGTGTTCCAGATATGCACGCACTTGTCGAACGAGCCGCTGGCCAGGTAATTGCCGTCGGGGCTGAAGGCCACGCTGTACACGGGCTCCTGGTGCTTGGTCAGCGTGTGGACACACACGCCACGCTCCACGTCCCACAGCCGCACCGTGGAATCGAACGAAGCGCTGCAGGGACGGAGGGGAAATCGTCACGTCCAGGAACCGTCGCCAGGGGGACAGAGGCCGCTGTCTGTCTGTCTGTCTCCCCGGGACCTTGAACCGGGAGCGGGAGGCGTTTCTCCTCGTGCAGCGCGGACGTTTCGAGACGCGATGAGTGACGCAGCGCCTGTCCTGAGGCGGCGCCCGCCCGCACGGAGCACGAGCCCCGGTTCCGACACGAGCCCCTCCCTTTTCTGCATTTCCTACAACTACGAAGGGCAGAGACTCCTGTAGAACATTCACCACATTTCCTAAAACGCTCCCACAATTTAGTACACGGTGATCGTCACCAACTAAAACACTGGGGGAAACGGCACATTCAGTGAATAGAAGTTTGAATCCAGCGAGAATTAAAATACAATTGGACCCGGAGATGCGATTGGACTCCCCGAGATAATGAACCCGCAGTTCCTTTCAGACTTAGAAGGGCACACGGCACACTGCTGAGCTGGTCCCTTCAACGCAGACTCATCGGGCCGTGCTCTGTCCCTCATACGCGTGACGAAAAGGACAGTCAACGCCCGTACTGCGCACCACGTGATCCGACCGCACCTTCCGAGCCATCGCAAAAGGGTTCTAGCCTGTTCTCTGCCACAGTCACGTCAGTGGCTGCTCGGACAATAAAATGAAATAAGAGAATTGTCATGGCAGCTTTTGTGCTCTTCTGCGTCGGCAGAAATTCCTTCTAGCATCTTCCAAGAGGTGGCCTCGGGCGGAGCACTGTCAGCAACAAGAGTCCTCGCTGCTGGCGAGGCCGCCCGCCCCCTGCCACGCTGCAGAGACCCCGGGGAGGGGGCGTTCATCCTATTTACGGGCAAATCTGCCACTGGTCACTTCTGCCCGCCATGCGGTTCTCCGCGGCTACACACAGCGACGCCCCTGCTGCTTCCTGGTACCAGGACATCCCTCGCGAGCCCCGTCTCTCCCAGGCTGGACAGACTCCCTCATCTCTCTGCATCGTGGCTTCTGGACTCCACAGCAGCCTGGCCCTCAGCCTCGGAGTCTCTGCCCGGCTTGCTTTCCTCGTTGAAATGCAAGACGGGAAAATGCTGTTCCCACGACCGCATCGGGCGTACAGCTGGCGACAGAGCCGCCGGCACGGCCCGGAGTCGCACCTGACCTCACCCTGCCCTGACTCTGACCCTGACCTAACCCGGACCCTGCCCTGACCCCGCCCTGACCCTAACCCTGCACTCACCTGGGGCCTCGCTGAACAGAAGTCCTACAACTGGGGGACGTGTTGCCTGCGGAGCTCCCCTCACTCCGAGGGGCAAGAGGCCCCAGGGCCACACCAGGCTCCCCAGCCCAGGGGTCCCGTGCCGGGAAGAGCAAGTCCCGTCCCCTCTGGCTGTGAAAACCCGTGGGGACTCCATCCGCGTGGGACGGAGGGCGGCTGCAGTCACATGCCTCCCCTTAGGGGCCATGTGGCCTTCCTCGCCCAGGGACACGCTTGGTCTGGGCTCCAGCGCTGGGGCACCAGGGACACTAGGGGAGGAACAGACTCGTCTGCCTTCAGGGTGAGGGCTGGAGGGGTGGCTTTCTCCAGGACAGCAGTGCTGGCAGAGGCCTCTGTTCCTTCATCGAGGCCGCGCCCCCCACGCCGAGCATGCGGACACACGTGGCCGCCATATCTGAGTCTCCAACTACCTGGCTGACACTGGTCATCTCACCCTGGTGATCCTAAGACCCCGCCGCCCCTTGCAGCGTCCAGGCCCACCCGAGCCGCTTCCAGGGGCGTTTCCACACCATCGGCCTGTCTCGGTCCACACTTACAGACTTTCTTACAATCGCTCAAGTTCACAAACCCCCAACGAGCAGCATCTGGCTGCCACGTGCCCCATACTTGCTCAGCAGCCTGAAGCCTGCAGCAGCCAGCCTCGGTGCACGGCTTAGCCTCTCCCAGGCTCCTCCGAGCCTGGCACAAGAGGCCGCCATCTGCGGGTCACTCTGCCGCTCACACCACGTGGGCGCGGGCCGCGGCTGACCTTGGCCTGCCCCACAGAGGCCCCAGAACCAACACACCCGAAGGCCGGCTTCAAGCCACACCAAAGCACCACCTCCACAAATGACACACCCAAAGGGTGGACCGGGCAGGCACGAGAGCCCCGTTAAAGCGAATCCTGCTCTGTAGGGTCAGCCCCTGCACAACGGCTCCTCCTCTGTGGTCTCCGCCAGGCCTCAGCCAATCAGCCTGACGGTCAATCCCTCCTGCAACCAAGGGTCAACTCGACAGGGGGGCACACGCGACCCACACAAGGGACACACCGGGAGCACCCAGCTCAGGTGCCCAGGAGACTGCGCCTCTGGGCCCCTCAGGACACCTACATACATAAGGCCACTCTCAGACCGGGAGATAGAGCAGCCCTACCTAATACCGAGAAAAAACCCGTGGATGGAGCCATAATGGGAGACAGAGAAACATGTCCCAAATGAATGAACAGCACACAGCTCCAGAAAAAGAACTAAATGGAACAGAGACAAACCACCTACCAGATGCAGAGTTCAAAACACGGCTCATGAGGATGCTCCACGATCTCCGTGAGAACGACCACAAGGAGACAGGAAACGTAAAAATGGAGATGCAGAACGTAAAAAAGAACCGGTCGGAGATGAAGAATACTATAACCGAAATGAAGAATACCTCACAGGGAATCGACAGTGCATTAGACGAAGCAGAGGGCCGAATCGGCGATCTGGAAGATGAGGCAGCAGAAAACACGCAAGCAGAACAGAAAAAAAAAAATCTCCCCCGGCCCCCAAAAAATGAGGGTCATTTAAGGGGCCTGTGGGACAACATCTAGCTAACAGGCATACCAGAAGGAGAGAGAGAGAGCGAGAAATAGAAAACCTATTTGATGCAATAATGATGGAAACCGTCCCTAACCTGGTGAAGGAAACAAGCCCAGCAAACTCAGAGAGTCCCCAAGAAGATGAGCCCAAAGAGGCCCCCAGCAAGACGCATCCTACTCAAAATACCAAAAGCGAAAGACAGAGAATCTGAAAAGCAACAAGAGAAAAGAAGTTACCCACAAGAAAGGTCCCACAAGACTGTCAGCTGATTCCTCGATGGAAACCGTCCCTAACCTGGAGAAGGAAACAAGCCCAGCAAACTCAGAGAGTCCCCAAGAAGATGAGCCCAAAGAGGCCCCCAGCAAGACGCATCCTACTCAAAATACCAAAAGCGAAAGACAGAGAATCTGAAAAGCAACAAGAGAAAAGAAGTTACCCACAAGAAAGGTCCCACAAGACTGTCAGCTGATTCCTCAACGGAAACTTTGCAGGCCAGAGGGACCGGCACGAAGCATTCAAAAGCGATGAAAAGCAAGGACCTACAACCAAGGTGACTCTATCTAGCAAAGTCATCATTCAGAAGGACAGATAAAGAGCTTCCCAGAGCAGGAAAACCTAAAGGAATTCATCACCACCAAACCAGCGTTACAGGATATGTTACAGCGACTTCTTTAAGCGAAAAAAGATAAAAAATGTGAATAATAAAACGGTAATAACTACATTATCTATCAACGATGACTTTAAATGTAAACGGATTCAACACTCCGAGCAGAAGATATAGATAAGGTGGCGGAGTGAACAAGGGAACACGGCCCTGACCTATGTTGCCTGCAACAGAGTTTAGATCGAAAGACACACAGACTGAAAGCAAAGGGGTGGAAAAACCTATTCCATAAAAATGGAAACAAAAACAGCTGGGGTAGCAAGACGAACACCAGACAAAATAGACTTTAAAACAGAGGCTATAACGAGTGACAAATACACTTCTGGGTATTTACCCAAGAAACCCACACACTCCTTCAAAGGGACACGTGCATCCGTACGTTCACTAGCAACAGCCAAGGGAAGGAGACAACCTGCGTGTCCACCAATGGACGAACAGATAACGAAGACGGGGTCCACGTGGACGATGCAGTGTCACTCGGTCACAGAAAGAAGGAAATCTTGCCCTCTGCAACAACACGGATGGACCTGGAGGATGTCGTGCTGAGTGGAGTGAGTCAGACAAAGACAAACGCCGTATGATCCTCGCTCATACGTGGACTCTAAAGAGCAACGTAAACGCACAAACCAAACAGAAACGAACCCAGATACGGAGAACGATACGATGGTTGCCGGATGCGGGGGCGTCTGCGGATGAGTGGACGAGGAAAAGGGATTAAGCAGCACGAATGGGCGCTCACGAAACCGTCACGGGCGCTCACGAAACCGTCACGGGCGCTCACGAAACCGTCACGGGCACGTGAGGTGCAGCGTAGGGAACGCCGTCAGTAACACTGTGATAACCGTACACGGTGCCAGGTGGGGCCCAGACTGACGGAGGTGATCACTTTGCACGTTATACAAATGCCTAACCGCTGGGCTGCAAACTGGAAACTAATATAATCCTGTACGTGTCAAGTGCAACTGAGAAATAGCAAATCATTTAGAAGCGTAAGGCAAATTAAAGGAAATGCAGAACTGTCAATCTCCCGAGCACGTGACACCTGGCTTCCTGGCATGTCTTCAGTTCGGCTCAAACAAACTCTTATAAAACTTGAAAACAACCAGGACACCACCACCAAAAATCCCCACAGGACGAGAGGGGCAGCTTGTATCCTGAATGGGTCTGACAAGCGTCAGGACGAGACGATTCAATGACCGCAGCCTACAGCGGTGTGGCTTCGTGGAGGCCACTTAGAACCGTCCTTCCCAGTCCTGGAGGAGTCTCACTAACTGGCCATCTCTCTCCCTCCAATGCTCGTGCCTTAAAGCATTCGCTGTATCGTTTTGGTCAGATCTGGCTAAGCATGGGGACCCTTCTATTGATACTCTGAATTTTCGCCACCTGCAGCTCCTAGCTCAACTAAGTAAAGCAAGTCCGCATTAAACTGTGCTTCTCTGCTGTAAAAAAAAAACCCACAGAACTTCACAGAGCAAAGTGTCAGACGCCAGGACATATGACCAGCCCTCCTAGCAGCCTCGTGGTTAAAAGGATCCTTACTTCAGATGAGGTGTCACCCGACGCTGCTGTCCGGTGGGCCTTTTCAAAGGGACCTACAGAGCACTTAGTATGGAAGGGCGTACGCAAATTCCCAACAGAGCTTAGCAAAATCTCCCGTCCCCCTTGGAGATGAGGAACTGGTCCGGCCACGGGGAGCCGGGCCGTGTTCCCTTTACCTTGCGAGCATGATGCTGGAGTTGGGGTTGGTGGTGGCCGGCCCGGTGGGACTCCACTTTATGGTATAGATCTCTTTGCTGTGAGCCTGAAGGTCGTGGACACACGTATCCTGCTTCATACTCCAGATCTGGAGAACACACAGATGGGACAGTGTCAGCAAACGCTGTTTCGCCGGCCGGGAGACGTGTGACATCGGTCACTCTGGCGGCGTCCGTGACGTTTCTGGCTCACTGCCCGGCGGGGCGTACGGCTGGCCCATCGGCCAGGCAGAGGGGTGGGACAAAATGCTAGAGGCACCGGTGGGGACGGACACAGGGAAGGGAAGGGTCCTCGGACGATCAACAGGAGTTAAACGGTGACAGCGACTCCTCGTGATTCATGAGCCAGCCCGAGCGGCAGTGAACGCATGAGCCGCAGTGCATACAGCAGCTGGTCTGGGATCACACGGCCCACTCGTCCACACCACGTTACCTTCAGCGTCATGTCGTCGGAGCAGGAGGCCAGCAACATTCCGGAAGGGTCCCATTTAATCGCGTTGACCTCGTTCTGAAAGGAAGCAAAAAGGGCGTAGGTACCACGACCGCCCAGCAGGGGGCAGGAGCGCGCTGCCGTCCAGCCGAGTCCACCCCGCTCAGCCTGCGCACAAACGACCTGCGCCCCACGGCCCCGTTTTTTTCCTCCGCACTCTGCCTTTCGCACGTACATGAAACCACAGGCACATACCCTAGAAAACCAGCCACCCTCATCCACGGTTCTCTAAGAATCAAAGACAAACCACAGGCAGGAAAGCAGCCACGTGAATTCACCCAAACACGCAAACACACGCGGAGCAGCACGGGCGCACGGGGGACGCAGATGCGAACGGGAACCTGAGGAGCGGAATTCTTAGTGGAGACGAGGGTGGGGTGTGTGTGTGTGGGGGTGGGAGCTCGAAATCCACAGTAAACAGCCAAGTAAACAAAAATGCTGCGAAACTCCAGGTAGCAGTGACAGGTGGCCTCCCAGGTCTGGGGCGCCAGGTGACACCAACCCTAAGTCCCGGAGGACAAAGAGCAACAGCCCGTGGGCGAGGGCGAAGGGGCCACGCGTGCACGAAACAGGCCCGGTCAGCAGGCGAGGGCGGTGTGCTGGGCGTAGCGAGCCCAGAAGCACGGTGACGAGGTGGCGGCTTTGGAGGCTGCTCGAAGGGCTTCCTCGTAGGGTCGCATTTGCCCAGGACGGTCCCTACGCACGCCGTGGTTTTGGCCACACAATGAACTGATTTCACGCTCGTAATTAATTTCACACCCCACGTGTGCTGGGATTTGAATGCTAAGTTTTATGGTCGTGCTCCTTGCTGAGGACACTGAGTCTGAAGGGTGTGAAGCGAGGAAGTGGCAAGGCCTCGTCTGTGTTCCATGTGGCAGAAACCGCGGATGGCCTACAGCAGGGAAGCCCGGAGGCCAAGGAACAGGCCACCAGCGAGTCACGGCATGGCTAAGGGGCTGGACCGGAGAGAGGGGGGTGTGTGTGCGTGCGTGCGCACACACGTGCATGACAAAGAGCGTCCAGGAGGACACCAAGAAAACGTGGGCCTGATGACAGCTGCTGATCCACGGACGAGGCTTAGCCAGGACACCGGCAGCCTGGGTGGCTCTGACGGCAACTGTACAAGCCACGGACAGAACTCTTAGGGCCCGGAAAGGCGAAGACGCTCCCCATGGACTGTCCCCAGCCAAGTCACCTCTAATCTTCCGGGGGGGAACAAATTCCTTCCTGAGAGTTGAGCTTTCCCTCCCTCCCTCTGCAGCCTCAGTCCCAATCCCCAGAAAGCATCCCAGAAACAGCTCACAGGTCCTGGGAAAACAGACTCAACCACGTTTAGCTCGTGTCTGGGGCAGGATGCTGAGCTACGATGAGACCCACTTAAAGAGCCAAGAGGTGTGACAGACGCAAAGTCGCGAACGAGACAGCCGGGGGTGGCAAAGACCTCCAAAGTAAGCTTATTTCTCCACGGTGACGGGAAAAATAAGTTTACACCAGAAAGAAAGAACACAAGAGTCAGTTTACAGCGACGACGAGATGCTAACAGGACAATTGATGTCCGTGATTGAAAAGCACCTTCTTTCAGAAGCAGGGACCCATGGGGACAGAAGCTGGAAAAGCTGAGTACCCGGGAAACAAGCAAGTGCCGAGGACAACGGAATTTATGTCAGTTGTTAGTAGCAAGGGACGTCGTAAGACAGCTGAGCTGCGGGGGAGCATGGCAGGTACGAGGCGCTCAAAGCAGCAGGTCATTCGGGGGTGCCGGGTTACAGGGGGTCTTGGACCCTACAGGACCCTACGGGATCTGTCCCAGAAAGGCTACGAAGAGCCTCATGTGCCACACAAACGAATCCGACGAGAAGCCAGCAAACGGTGGCACGGTGACATCTCCCACCAAATTTAGGAAAACTGGCTCACTTCTACGAGCTCTGTTCAGGCTCATCGGGCTTATTTCTGCGCTGTCCAACCTGCTGTTAAACCCGCCCATTAAGATGTTCGTTTCAGACGTTATACGTGTCGGTTCTTGGATTTCTATTTGACACTTTTTAAAAAATAGTCTTTCTTTCTCTGCTGACATTTCCCGTCTATTCACTCATTGCAAGCATGTTTTCTTTTACGTCCTCATGCATCCGTATAATAGCTAATTCTTTCCAGCAAAATCCGACACCGGACTCATCTCAGGGTCCCCTTTTTCTCCACCACCTGCCCGTAACTGGGTTTATCTAACCACCTGAGCTACTACCCAACAGCTCAAGCGGCAAAGGGCTGCAGAGAAACAGCTGTCTTCATACCATCTTTTAATCCTCGGCATCGAGAGGAGATGGCTCTCACCGCCCAGCACATTCTCGTGACCCTGATCGCAAGTTGCACTTACTGTGTGTCCCTGGAAGGTTTTGACAGGGCGGTCACAGCCGAGTCTGCAAACGTGGATACACATGTCTGTGCTGCAGGAGGCAAACGTAGTGTTGTTCTGCCAGTCCACATCGAGTGCCGGGGCTGTGGGGTGGGGACAGACGGACATCGGCCTTTACGCGTCGTGCACGGAGCTCGACTGACTCAGAACGATGAAAAGCAGAGGCAAGAAGCCTCAGCTAGCAACGTGATTGAAAAAAACATTCCCAGTGCGAA